CTCTTAGTTTTTCCCCATTGAAAATGATACTCACTGTGGGCTTTTTGTAGATGGCTTTTATGATATTGAGGTATGTTCCCTCTATCCCTGCACCATGAAGAGTTTTAATCAAGAAGGGATGCTGTACTTTGTCAGGTGGTTTTTCTGCATCTATTGAGAGTATCATATGGTTCTTGTCCTTTCTTTTATTAATGTATGGTGTCACACTGATTGATTTGCGGATGTTGAACCACCCTTGCAGACCAGGAACAAATCCCACTTGGTCACGGTGAATAATCCTTTTAATGTACTGTTGGATCCTGTTGGCTAGTATCTTGGTGAGAATTTTTGCATCCGTGTTCATCAGCAATATTGGTCTATAATTCTCCTTTTTGTTGGGGTCTTTGTCTGGTTTTGGGATCAAGGTAATGCTGGCCTCATAGAAAGAGTTTGGAAGTTTTCTGTCCGTTTTTATTTTTTGAGACAGCTTCAGAAGAATAGGTATTAATTCCTCTTTAAATGTTTGGTTGAACTCTCCAGGGAAGCCATCTGGCCCTGGAGTTTTGTTTGTTGAGAGATTTTTGATGACTGCTTCAGATTCCTTGCTGGTTATGAGTCTGTTCAGGTTTTTCTGTTACCATTTCTTCCAGATTGCCTAATTTGTTGGCAAATAGTTGTTCATTATACATTCTTAAAATCGTTTGTGTTTCCTTGGTATTGGTTGTGATCTCTCTTCTTTCATTCATGATTTTATTAATTTGGGTCCTTTCTCTTTTCTTTTTGCAAAGCCTGGCCAGGGGTTTATCGATCTTATTACTTCTTTCAAAGAGCCAGCTCCTAGTTTTGTTGCTGTGTTCTACTGTACTTTTGGTTTCTATTTCATTGGTTTCTGCTCTGGTCATTATTAATTCTCTTTTCCTGTTGGATTTAGGCTTTCTTTGCTGTTGTTTCTCCAGATCCTGTAGGTGGAAGGTTAGGTTGTGTATTTAGGACCTTTCTTGTTTCTTGAGAAAGGCTTGTATTGTTCTATACTTCCCTCTTCAGGACTGCCTTGGCTGCATCCCAAAGATTTTGAACGGTTGTATATTCATTTTCCTTTGTTTCCATGAATTCTTTTACTTGTTTGTTAATTTCCTGGTTGACCCATTCATTCCTTAGTAGGATGCTCTTTAGTGTCCATGTATTTTAGTTTTTCCCAAATTTCCTCTTGTGATTGAGTTCAAGTTTCAAGGGACTGTGGTCTAGAAATATGCAGGGAATGATCACAGACTTTTGGTACCGGTTGAGACCTGATTTGTGACCCAGTATGTGATCTCTTCTGGAGAAAGCTCCATGTGCACTGGAGAAGAATGTGTATTCTGTGGCTTAAAATCTAATTTGTCTGATAGAAGGATTGCCACCCCAGCTTTCTTTTGATGTCCATTAGCACGGTAAATGGTTTTCCACCCCCTTACTTTCAATCTGGAGGTGTTATTGGATCTAAAATGAGTCTCTTGCAGACAGCATATTGATGGGTCTTGCTTTTTTTATCCAATCTGATACCCTGTGTCTTTTGATTGGGGAATGTTGCCCATTTACTTTCAGGCTAACTATCAAAAGATATGAATTGAGTGCCATTGTATTACCTGTAATGTCATTGTTTCTGTATATTGTCTCTATTCCTTTCTGGTCAATGACACTTTGGGTCTCTCTCTTTGCTTAAAGGATCCCCTTTAGTATTTCTTGCAGGACTGGTTTGGTGGTCACAAATTTTTTAGTTTCTGTTTGTCCTGGAAACTTCATCTCTCCTTCTATTTTGAATGACAGCCTTGCTGGTAAAGTATTCTTGGCTGCATATTGTTCTGGTTTAGCACCCTGACTATACCATGACAGTCCTTTCTGGCATGTCCTGAGCTGCTTTCTGGATTTTCTCTTTGTCTCTGAAATTTGCAAACTTCACTACTATATATCAAGGTGTTGGCCTATTCTTATTGATGTTGAAGGGGGTTCTCTGTGCCTCCTGGATTTGAATGACTTTTTCCTTCCCCGGATTATGGAGGTTCTCTGGTATAATTTCTCAGATATACCTTCTACCACACCCCCTTTCCTCCTCTTCTGGGATCCCAGTTATTCTAATATTGTTTTGCTTTATAGTATCACTTATCTCTTGAATTCTCCCCTTGTGATCCAGTAATTGTTTATCTCTCTTTTTTTCTCAACTTCTTTATTCTCCATCATTTTGTCTTCTATGTCACTACTTCTCCTTTCTGTGTCATTTATCCTAGCAGTTAGAGCCTCCAATTTTTAAAATTTGAAATAGTTAATATTTATTAGTTATAGTTCAGTAAGTCTGTAAAAGTAGGGTTTTATTTCTCCATTACCCATTATGTACGTGATGAATTTTTTAAAATTTCTATTCAATTAGCTGATATATGATATATCAGTTTCAGATATAGTGTTTAGTTAAAGTTAACCATCAGTTGTATATAATACCCAGTGCTTTACACATCACATGCCCTCCTTCATGCCCATCACCCAATTATCCCTACCCCCATCCCATTCCCCTTCAGCAAACATCTGTTTGTTTCCTATAGTTAAGAGTCTCTCATGATTTGTCTCCCTCTTTGATTTCTTCCATTTAGTTTTCCCTCCCTTCCCCTATGATTCTATGCACTGTTTCTTATATTCCCCATATGTATGAAACAATATGATAATTGTCTTTCTGTGATTGACTTATTTCTGTCAGTATAGTACCCTCCGTTTCCATCCACTTCATTGTAAATTGTAAGAGTTCATCCTTTTTGATGGCTTTGTAATATTCCATTGTATTTACATATACACCACATCTTCTTTATCCATTTATCTGTTGATGGACATTTGGGCTGTTTCCACAGTTTGTCTATTGTGGAGATTGCTTCTATAAACATTAGTGTCCAGGTGCCCCATCAGATCAGTATGTTTGCATCTTTGGGGTAAATACCTTGCAGTACAATTACTGGGTCATATTTTTAACTTCATGGAGAACTTCCATACTGTTTCCAGAGGTAGAGCCTCCATGTTTTTATTGCATCTCCTTAATAACCTTTTGATTTCAACTTGGTATATTTTTGTTCTTTTATTTCTCCAGAAAGGGATTCTCCAGTGTCTTTTGTGCTTTGTTCAAGCCCAGCTAGTATTTTTATACTTGTTATCCTAAACTCTAATTCTGCCATCTTAGTTATATCCATACTGATTAGGTCGCTGACGGTCAGTAGTACCTCATGTTCTCTTATTTCAGGTGAGTTTTTCCATCTAGCCATTCTGTCTAGAGAAGAATAGAAAATGAGAGAACAAAATACTAAAATAACAACAACAACCCCAGAGAAATATAATCTGAAGCCAATCAGAAGAGACCAGGAACCAAAATAAATAAATAAAATAAAAATTTAAAAAGAGAGAATATAATCAGATAGGTAATGAGAACAGAACAATACACTAGATTCTGGGTATATTTTGGTCTGTTTGTTAGAGGGAACTACATCCCAAAATTGTAAAGAAAGAAAAAAATATATATATATGCAAAACAAAGTTAAACACTATGAAAGGATAGAATGTAACTATAAAAATTAAAATTAAAAAAGTTTTAAAAACCCGAGTTGATAAAATGAGAAATTGGTTGAAATGGGAAAAGAAAAAGAAAATTAAACTTGAAAGTTTAAAGAACCATGAGTTCTATATAGTATTTTCCCCCAGCACTAGAGTTTTGCAGTTCTCTGTGATTGGTTAAAGTAGATCTTAGTGGGAAGTTCTTGCTGATTTTCTGGGGGAGGAGCCTTTGAGCTTTAGCTGATTCTGGGAGGTCTTTGCCCTGGTGGTATTGCACTGCCCTTGCCAGGGGGCCAGGCTCAGTAAGGGCTTCCAGATTCCTCTTTGTGGCTTTTGTTCCCTGATGGTTTTCCACACCGCTTGAGAGGATTAGAAGGAAAATGTGAGCTTCCCAGTGTCCAGCCCTAGAGCTGAAAGCGGGCACCCTCCACTCTTCAGTGTGCCCTCACAGAAAAGCTGTCAATCACTCTTGTCTCCCTGGTTTCTGTATGCACTCTCTGCACGCCCAGCCTTTGAGCATTTTTATCTCAGCCATGCAACCCCCTTTGGAGTTTCCAAACTTTGCAGTCTCCTGTGGCTGCATTCATGCCACTCCTCCAGGGGGAGGGAGGAGGTCTTGCCCTGGTTTTTCTGCATGTTTGGCCCCTGCTCTGAGAGCGGCTACCCAACGGGCTGGGGTTTGTGGTTAATGGCAACACTGAGCTGAAGGCCCCTCCTCTGCTCTTTGATTGCAGCTGGCTTCCCTGCTGAAAAACCTGGGAACTCTCCCATACTCAGGCACCCCATTCTTTCTGTGACCCCGGGGATCCTGAGATCAGGCAGTTCTACCTAGGATTCCGACCTACTTCTTCACCTGAGTGCTTTTCAAGCAGGGATGTCCCTCATCGGATTAGACTTATAAAAGTTCCAGTTTGCACGCCACTGCTATATCACTTTCTGATAGGCGGTTTATGCACCCCTAACAGTTTATCTTCCCATATAGCACCTTGGATTCATTTCTCCATGCCACACCTCCTACCTTACAGAACGTGGTCACTTTTCTATTTGTAGAATTATAACAGTTCTTTTCTTAAATCTCAGGTTGAGTTCACAGGTGTTGAGAATGATTTGAAAGCTATCTAGCTGAATTCCAGGGACTGGACAAAACTATGGTCCTCTATGCCTCTGCCATATTCCTCTTCTTCCAGAAATTATGTATATTTAATAGACCAATATTAATTGTACTTTTTATCAGATTTATCTAAATAGTGTTACATGTATTTCTTCTGTTACCTAAGATTAAAATAAGTAGGGATTTATTTATTTATGTGATTATCTTTCTAGTTAAGCAATCCCTAACTTAGTTTTAGTCTCTAATAGTGTTATTTTAAGTTCACATTTCATAAGCTATATATAATTCCTACAATAATGTCTCTTGTTTAACTTGAACATTATGAATAATATTTGACTTATTTCAGATGCAGCAGGAGTTGGAAAAAAATATAACTAGAGAACTAGAAGAAGGTATGTTGCCAAATTTCTGAACTAAGATGGTTATTGATTTCTGAAATAAACTATGAATGGTAAATGGCATTGCTTTCCATTGTTTGGATAATAGGTACTATGCTAAAATTTTTAATATATATCTAATAAAAATGTAAACATAAACATAATGAGGAACATACTTATTCCTCATTTAGTCATCGTTTTTCAGACTTTTTAAAAAAATCTCCAAATGTCTATTTAGCTGTTATTTCAAGCTGTAATCTTCCCTCACTTCTGCCATCCCTCTGGAACTGTCAACCTGAATATGCGGGCTTTCTCAAATCCTTGTTTCTGCTAATGATATAAAACCAAAATTTAAAAAAAAAAAAAGAAAAAAAGCAGTCTTGTCTTAGGTGATACTTAGTTAAGCAATTATAGTTCAAATAGCTGTCACTTGACAGGTGACATTTAAATCTCCAGTCGTTGATTTTGTCATTGATTTACCTTTTGCCATTGGGTAAAATTCCAAGCTCTGTACATGGAATAAAAACACCCAAATCAGTTTGGTTCTTGCCTGATTTTTCAGCCTTCTCTGTCGCTAACATTTACCCTACTCTGCGGCTTTGCTCTCGCACCTCTTCAGTGTCAACTACTTGCAATTCCACAAGTGTTCTTTCTCACTCTCTGTGTACGTTCTTTGTATATGCGTCTTCCCTCTACCTGGCACGCTTCTTCCCTGTCCTTCAGGTATCAGCTTACATATCCCCTCCACCAAAAAGCAGACAATATTGATAGAAAACTAGGATTTTCCTTCTGTGCGTTCTTATGTTCAACTCTGAAAATTGCCTGTTTGATTTTTCAGTCTGTCCTATATGATTGTTCACGGGCGGGCTCTGTTATCATCTTGTAATGAGAAAAACAGAAGCTCTGATATTTATCCACAATAGCAATTACCTCAGTGGGCAACCGTGAGCAAAATATATGTAAAAGTAATCTTGTATTTTATATTGTAGTTGTATTAGATATTTTTCATTCTTCATAACACTCATAAGGCTTCAACTTTTTTTTTTACTAACTTTTAGTTAAGAATGAAGTATTTTAGATAAAGACTGTAATTCTTTTTCTTTTCAGTTGCTGCTGAATTTGAATCAGGCTCATCTGGTGGAGCCACCTCTTTAGAATCTACTTTTGAAAGACATATAAATTGTGACGATGTACAGAAAGCATACAGAGAGTACTCAGAGTTTCTGAAGAAAAAGTATAGCATCTGAAAGATAAATAGTAAAAATTTATTTACTGGATGTTTATACAACATTTTAATTGTGTCCTATTAAATGGATGATATGCAAAAATCTTTCTTAAAGGAAAATATTTTTGGATCATGTGTGTCATAAAAGTTTATAATAATATTTTAAGCTATGTTTCTTGGTAGCTAACTAACTTTTAAGCAGATTTTTTATATGGAAGTCAGCCTTATTGGGTTTTACATGCTTCAGACTGCCCATATACCAGCTTTCTAAACAGCACCCAACCAACCAAGTTTTCATGAATACTTCAGTCATGTTAATTGATAACTTTTGGTTATTTTCCAATTTTATTACTACATATGAACCTAGATTTAGACATTATTTTGATATATTGCTGCTAAGTTTATTGTCAATGTTTGCATGTATTCTAATTTTTATAGTGCTATAAAACTTATGTATAATTTTAATTTTAAATACTGATGCATAGCTCTTCCCTCATGGTGAGATAAGATTTGCCTAAGGCTTTTCACCTTTTCTGTTTATTTTTTATTTACTTTTTGAGAACAGTCTTAAAATTAGAAGAAAAAAAAGAACTTTTACCACAGAACCATTTGCAAGACAATTATTAAATTATGCCTGATTCACATAGCATTTATATCCTACAAGTCAGTACATTCCACATAACTACTGTACAACCTTGTCAATCAGACAATTAATTCTAATACAGTTTTGAATAATGCAGGGGTTAAGGGCACTGACCCTTTGTAGTCAGAAATATGTGAATAACTTTTGACTCCCCAGGCACTTGAGTACTAATAATCTGCTGTTGACCAGAAAACTTACTTGTACAAAAACAGTTAATTAACCTGTGTTTTGTATGTTATATGTATTCCATATTATATTTTTACAATAAAGTAAGCTAGAAAAGAAAATGTTATTAAAATCATAAGGAAGAAAAAATACACTGACAGTACTGTCATGTATTTATTGAAAAAATCTGCATGTAGCTGCACCCATTCAAACCGTGTCAACTATATATTTTTTAAAGATCTTATTTATTTATTTGACAGAGAGAGAGAGAGAGAGTGAGAGCACAAGTAGGCAGCGTGGCAGGCAAAGGGAGATGGAGAAGCAAGCTCCCTGCTGAAAACAGAGACTGATACAGAACACCATCCCATGACCCTGGGATCATGACGTGAGCCCAAGGCAGTTGCTTACCCGACTGAGCCACCTAAGCACCCTATACATTCTATCATTTAGTCCTCATGCTCTTTTTAAGTTTTGTCACTTGTCTGTAATATCCTTTACAGCAAGGAAGGTCCTGTTCAGAGCCATGTATTTAGTTCCGATGTTGTGTCTCTTAGTCTCTTTCAGTTTTGAACAGTTCCTTAGTCAGTCTTTCCCGGATTTTCATGACTTTTAATTTTTTGAAGAGTTAATTCCAGTAATGTAGAATGTCTTTCAGTGCAGGTTTTTCTTATGTTTCCTTATGATAAAATTCAGATCAGGGATGCCTGGGTGGTTCAGGTCATGATCCCAGGGTTCTGAGATTGAGTCTTGCATCGGGCTCTGAGCTCACTGGAGAGCCTGCTTCTCCCTCTGCCTGCTGTTCCCCCTGCCTGTGTTTTCTCTCTCATAATACTGAGTTTTCCAAATACTATTTTAATTGATTAACTCTCAATGTTTAAAAAATTTCCTATAAAGATTTTGCAGATATTTTTTAGATTTATTCCCAGTTATTTGATACTTTTGATCCTATTATAAATATTATTTTAAAAAGTCAATTTCATTTCCTATTGCTAGGTTATAGAAATAAAATTATTTCTTCATATTGAGCTTAGAATCACCTGTCTTGCTAAACTATCTTATTATAGTGTTTCTCACAGTTCTGAAGGCTGGGAAGTCCAAAGTCAAGGCACTGGCAGATTCAGTGTCCATTGAGGACCTGCTTCCTGGTTCATGGATGGTGGTCTTCCTCCTGTTTCTTCGTACTGCACAGGGCCATGGAAGCTCTCTCAGGACTCCTTTATGAGGGCACTAATCCCATTCATGAGGGTTCCACCTTCATGAGTAATCACTTCCCAAAGTCTCCACCTCCAAATACAATTACATTGAACACTAAGATTTAACACACTAATTTGGGAGCTGGGGGGACAGAAATATTCAGTTTATAGCAAGGCTGTTCCTTGTTCTTTGCCAGGTAGACCTCTCCAATATGGCTTTTTACTTCGTGAGGCCAGTAAGGAGAATTTCCCTGCAGAGAGGGCTCAGTCGTCTTTTAAGGATTTCACCTGCTTCAATCAGGCTTACATAGAATAATCCCTTTTTGATTAACTCGAAATTAACAATTAATTTTATCTGCAAGATTTCTTTATAGTTGCCATGTTCTAATGGCTAGAGTCAAGTCACAGATCTTGGCTACACTTAAGGGAAAAGGATTATAAAAGGTGAGAACACCAAAGAGCATTTATTATGGGGTCACCGAGGTCTTTATTTTACAACTATATTAACAGATCCCTTATACTACTAGTTTTCTAAGTTTTATCATGGATGAATGTTGAATGAATGAATGTTTCTTTTGCATATATTGAGATAACTTTTTTAATAATTTGTCAGTGTGGTGAATTACATTATGTACTCATGTTAAACCAACCTTGCATTTCTCAGGGAAACTGAATTAAGTTGTGATTTCATTCATTTGTTTCATATATTGCTACTATTGATATGCTAATATCCTAGTGAGGATTTTCTCCTGTCCATGGATGATGTTAATACAAGGAATTTTGAATACATTTAACTCAATTTATTTGGCTTCAAACTTATGTGTATTGTTGCTTTGTGTTTTCTGTCTTGTATCTTTAAAAAATAATTGACCATTTTTATAACTTTTATATGATACTCTCAATGTTCATTTAAATTGAACTATATATTTAAGTTTTTTTTTTCTTACATCTCAGAATTTCTATTTGGGATTATGTACATACTTTATGTACATAATGTACATACTTTAGGTACATACATTATATACATACTTTAAAATTTTCATAAGTGAGAACTGCCAGGTAATGAACCTCTATTTAAAAATGTCTTTAATGGGCACCTGGATGGCTCAGTTGATTAAATATCTGGCTTTGGCTCAGGTCATGATCCCAGGGTCCTGGGATCGAGCCCCACTTCAGGCTCACTGCTCAGTCTGGAGTCTTCTTCCACTCTGTCTACCCCTCCCCACCACTTGTGCTCCCTCTTTCTCTCCTCTTCTCTCACTCTCTTACAAATGAATAAAAAATTTTTAAAAATAAGTAAATGTCTTTATTTCCTCTTACTCTCGATATACATTTTCACTGCATAGAGAATCCTAGGTGAATAGTTATTTTCTTTAACCATACAAAAAATGTCATTCCACTGCCCTTTGTCTTTCATAATTGCTCTTTAGAAATCAGGTGTCTACCTGTTTCTCCTTTGAACATAATCTGTTCCCCACTCTGCTCCTTTTTCCCACAATTTTTGGTTACTTTAAAGATTTTACTTATGGGGAAAAAAACTTTTTTTTTTGTTTGTTTACTGCAGGTATGCTCTTATGTATCTAGATTTGGATGTCTTATTATTTATCTTAATAATGTTCCATAATTAGAATTGCATTTACAACAGCTCCAAAAACCACGATATACCTAGGAATAAGCCTAACCAAAGAGGCAAAGGATCTATACTCTAGAAACTACAGAACATTTTTGAAGGAAATTGAGTAGACGAAATCACATCCTATACTCATGGATTGGAAGAATAAATATCCTTAAAATGTTTATGCTGCCCAGAGCACAATTTACACTTTCAATACAATCCCTATCAAAATATCATAGACATTTTTCACAGAGCTAAAACAAATAATTCTAAAATCTGTGTGGAACCAGAAAAAAACCCAAATAGCCAAAGGAATGTTGAAAAAGAAAACCAAAACTGAGGCATCACAATGCCTGACTTCAAGCTATATTACAAAGCCATAGTCATCAAGACAGCATGGTATTTGCACAAAAACAGACACACATATCAATAGAACAGAATAGAGAGTCCAGAAATGGACTCTACAATAAACTAATCTTTGACAAAGCAAGAAAGAACATCCAATGGAAAAAAGATATTTTCTTCAATAAATGGTGTTGGGAAAACTCTACAACCACATGCAGAAGAATGAAACTAGACCATTCTCTTACACCATACACAAGGATAAAATGGATGAAAGACCTCAACATGAGACAGGAATCCACCAAAATCCTAGAGGAGAGCATAGGCAGTAACCTCTTTGACCCTGGCCACAACTTCTTTCAAGATGCCTCTCTAAAGGTAGGGGAAACAGAAGCAAAATGAACTTTTGGGACTTCCACCAAGATAAGTTTTTGCACAGCAAAGGAAACAGTCAACAAAACTAAGAGGCAATCCACAGAATGGGAGAAGATCTTTGCAAATGACATTTTGGATAAAGGGCTGATATCCTAGACCTATAAAGAACTTCTCAAATTCAACACCCAAAAAACAAACAATCCAGTCAAGAAATGGGCAGAAGACATGAACAGACACTTCTGCAAAGAAGACATCCAAATGGCTAACAGACACATGAAATAATACTCAACTTCACTAGCCATCAGGGAAATTCAAATCAAAACAACAATGAGATGCCACCTTACACCTGTTAGAATGGCTAGAATTAACAAGATAGGAAAAAAGTGTTGGTGATGTTATGGAGAAAGGGGAATCCTCTTGTGCTGTTGGTGGAAATGCAAGCTGGTACAGCCACTCTGGAAAACAGTGTGGAGGTTCCTCAAGACGTTTAAAGTAGAGCTACCCTATGACCCAGCAATTGCACCACCAGGTCTTTACCCCAAAGATAAGGATGTAGTAAAAATAAGGGGCACAACACCCCAATGTTCATAACTGCAATGTCCATAAGAGCCAAACAGTGGAAGGAACCGTGATGCCCTTCAACAGATGAATGGATAAAGATGTGGTTTCTATATACAATGGAATATTAC